ATTTGTTTTTGCAGTTTTCCGTTTTAGGGGGTTATTTTTTCCTGTACAGATATCGAGATATATATCGTATATCGAGATATAGCAAAATATATCGAGATATATTTTTTGATCCATATCGCCCAGCCCTACTAAATATGTTATTTGTCAATAGTTAATACCCCATAGACGTAAAATACTCCCACTTTAACTTTTAAATCAATCAGCGCTAGTTTATCTCATGACAGTGACACACTTCACAACATGTATAGTCTCAAAAAGGTGGTAATATGTTCACACAATCATCCAACATTTTTATATCCTTGAGAAATCCATTTTATTATTCTTACAAAAGTGACGTTATATTGTGAATTTTACTACACAACATGAATTTTTGGGCCTTAATATAGATTTTAAAATTCTGATATCTACTACCACAACAGCAAGACAAGTATCAGATATGGAACTGATTGAAAAAAATGTTAATCCATATTGGACTAGTATTACAAATTAAACGTTTTGAGTAGTAAAATCCCGTTCATTTAGCATTCTCCCAGAAGCTCTTTGTGGCCTGTGGCTCTCTTCATTAAGTAAATGACAGCCTGACTTGTAGCTACAGGCTCCATTATGCAGCTAATCGTGTACAAGCAGCTACTCAACAGTCAGTCTCGGGTGATTCTTTATCTGCAGAAATAGTATTGATGGAGCTCCTCAGCCTCCCGGCCCCGATACACAGTATTACTTCCACACAGCCCCAGTGGGAGCCATCGGACTAAGAGCACCTGGAGTTATTGGCGGCAGATTATGCTGGGCGTTATTGTGGAGGGCTTTGGTGGGAGTAATGAAACACTGGGCTGATTCACAGGTGGTTTAGGCTCACATGCATTCTACAAGGAGTTAGGGAAATCGCACATAAGGGCTAATACTAACTACTTTTTGTGCTCTTTCTTTTAAGTCAGTCAGTTTAAGGGGCCCATATTACACTATTTTCTGATCTATGTTATTGTTATAATATTGTTTCCTCATCAAAAACATACCTGGAGTTGTGTTTTGTTTCATTCACACATGTTTAACACACACAACTCCATACACCTTGACTAGAATCATTTGGATGATTTCAGCTCTATGGATGATGCCCATTTCTACTGAGTCAAAGGAAACTTGAAAACTACTGCTTCATGACACAAGGTGGAACAGAGCACTTTGAGTTTTGGAGATGTGACTGCCTAATAATGCAGCATTACTCAAACATGTGAATGAAATAAAACACAACTCCAGAGATGTTTTTGATGAGGTAATGACATTCTAACATGGCTCTCAAGAATCTATTTTGTGTGGGCCTTTAAATGAAGATGTAGTGAGACATTTGTTAAAGGCTGATCAAATCTTTGCTACCTTCTACTTTTTGTCCATTACTAACTAAAACTTTGTAGAATAAGACACAAGAACAAAGAACACAAAATGTACACAAATGTAACAAGTGTAGATCTGACGTGCCTGAGTATAGCTTTAAACCACTACTACTTTTTAAGTGGCATTAACAAAATCAATAGTCAAACAATCTAGGACAAATGGTAGACTATTGATGGAATTAAACCTTGTGTATGATGTAGCTTGTTTATTTGGGCCTATCCTTAACGCATGAATAGTTTGTCCAACCTAGTGTCCTGAATTAACTGCACCACATGTAATTGCCTGTTCTTCTAATCTCATTTCAACAACTGTCAAATCTGTATTCCTTGACAGCTACAATTAATTACCTTTAATCTTAATTTCTTAAATACAGTCACATATGAAAACTGAGTGCATAGATTAGATGTCAGTGCTAAAATGATTGACACTAAGTTAACAGCAAACACATGCACTCAGCCAGACGTTTTCAAAAGGACCATTATAAAAATGGGAGTTGGCTATTCATTGTGAATAGCCTGAATCGTTGCCAGGCCTCTCTTGTACATTTGACAACTTACATAATGCATTTCCACTAAAATAGCTTAAGTGTTAAAGCTTCTTTTATGGGCAGAAATTGATTCATAAATGCACCCAGCCGAAAGCTAACACGAACACAAAGCTTTCAATAACACCCATTTTATTCACACTGTCAATGTATGAAGCGGTTGCATTAGACAAGGTGGCATGCTGATAGCTTTATGAAATCCAGGCTAATTGTTTTGTGGCGAGGTCCTTGGGGCAGCTTGCATTAAGACGGCCCGATCAAGTCCGATAAATGTAGCTCTTAGCGTCTTTGAAACCCGCCCCATACGCGCTCCACACTCAGGCCTTGTGCGCCTTTCAGGGTCTCTCCAGTGGCCACTTTGGGGATCAATGAAAGCAAATGTATATAGCGCAGGATATTGGACATATTTCCATGACATAAGCCACATCAGATTGCACCCCACGAGCTGTAATACATATCATTATTCCTGCCTCATAAAGAGCTTTTTCCTCCCAGTCCCATGACACAAAACCATAGATATTATGTTCTTGTAATTAAAATCAAGGCAGACAGAACAATATAGTACAGAAGAATTTTTTAACTACATAGATTCAATATTAGTTTTTGTGTTACTATGCGTTCCTCGGTCAGAATTTATTAAAAAAAAAAAGAAGCACTGGAGCTTGAATGTCCTAGATAAATGTAAAGCTATGTTGAATGTGCATCGCCTGTTCTTTCAAGCGTTTGGCCTACCTCTTTCATCTCCCCTCACATCAATACATCCATTCAGTCCATTTTACCCATTGTGCGACCTGCGTATAATCACAGCATCAAAGCACTTTCTTTTTAGTAAAGGTTTGATCCAGATATTTCCCCTCTATACTCTATTATCTCCATCTGCAAACCCGTTTAAGAATCATTGGCATTGGATGAGTAGATTTTTTAGAAAAGTAAAACGTGTACAAAGCCTCAAGTAATAAAAAAGAATTGGCAATTTATTCCCTGGATATTTCTTCTGTCAGCTCTTTAATTTAGTTAAAGAAATTACACAACTCCTCAGGGAAGAGATGTGCATGTGTATTTATTTATTATCGATCCTCTCTGTGGCGGTAAATGCGTTAACGTTACACATATTTGCAAGAGGATAGCGCCCTTCTAAGTTATTTTGAAATGATGCAATGAAAGGCATCAAGGAATTGGTATTCAGTATGCCCCCCACTGTTTATCAAATCAAATACATTATTCACAAGCAATATCTTAACTGCTATCATCACAAACCTGACTGTCTGCAGCACTTCATATTGTGTAATAAAGTCTCATTTGTCCAGTTTCTTATTCAATTAGCTAATTAGAGTTTTAGATGAATGAAAATTACATTTTTTTTTTGTTTGGTCATCTTTTCATATGTATTGATGTATTTATTTATCTTACTGAATTGTATAATGAACAATGTCAATTATTATAATTTTTTTCAATTTTGTAAGAAAAATCAGCTGAATCTCCTGCAGATATGGAAGAGGCAGGATGTGGGCATGCACAGTGTAATCCATAATGGGTGAAATAATTGGTGAAAAGAGACTGTCTTGTCACAATATCCAGTGCATTTGGGTGTGATGAGTGCGAGGATGTGGACTGGAGCAGGAGCAGGCCCGGGCAGAGGTACAGACCAGCAGCACAAAAGCAGGCTCCCCCTTGGGCTTTCACATCAACCGTCAAATGCTTGAGGTTCATTTGTTGGGTCATGCCATTCACCAATTATTTGGATTTTATGTAAAGATGAAATGATTTTGGTTGGCGCAGTGGGGTTTTAAATGTACTGCATAAATATACTTGACAGGGAATGAGATCTGGCTGTCAGGCTATTGAGCAGAAAGCTTTTATGGAAAGGGGTAGAAACAACAGCCTGCTCTGTAGGCTATATTTAACAAAACAAGCTATTTTCATGTGAGCCTAAAGCACACTATGTGGCAGGACTTTATTCAAGAGTCAATATACTCTTTATTTACATATTTACATTTTTACTGACCTTATTTTCAATGTGCCTTCATTTAATAAACCATTGAAAGAATTAATAATTATATTATGTTATACATCTGTAAGAAATGGCTCAAAGATAAATGATGCTGATGCCCAACAATAAAATTCTGTAAACACATTTTATAATCTATACAAGGTTGTCTTGAATTAAAATGTGTCTAAATTGTTATTGCTACTTGAAGACTTGAAGTTATTTACTTTAAGTCTGAAACTGGATATAATGAAGTGCATCTGTAAAAGATCTGCGGTTGTCTTCTTTGAATGGACTTTCAGAGGGTAAAAACTATTATTTATAGCACATATAATAACATCTCTGTGTCATCTTATCAAGATTTACAGATCTGATAATCTGATAATGATAATGTAAATCTCTCATTTCATTATCATCAAGGCAAAAAACACATAATGTTTTTAAACAACAAAAATGATTTCATCTTTTTTATTCTGCGCGTGTGTCCTAAGCTTTTGTGTCAACAGCGAGGCGTCATGCGATCTTGATATCATTGAGGTCAAAGGGTGAGGGTCGGAGCCGCCTTTTAGAGCTTCACAGTTAGTGCGCAGTGGAGAGATTCTCAGATAGTGATTGCTGTGATATCCAATTGTGGGTGTCCTTTATTTTCCCTGCAGCCATCAGCGGGCTTATTATCATGTCCCTGTCTCCGCGCTCCTCTCTGCCCTCACTGAAACAGGTCTAATTGTGTCCCGTAGCTGTGGGCCCTGGATAAAAGGCGACTGTGGGTTTAGATGAGTGATACTCAGTGATGTAAATGGCTGAATAATATGGCCCCATCTCTCAGCAGTAATCTGGGCCATCGGGGACCCAGCCAGCACGAGCATCAGCCCCATCAATGAGCCCTGCGCCGCCTGGTAATTTATTCAATGCTGCGGTGGTTATTGATAAACCACTTAAGTTCAAATTCCCACCTTCCCAACTGCCTTAGTCTGCTCCACATGGTACCTCTGATGTCTTTATTTACACTATTTATTTAAGTTCACTTTGTGCAGTATTGAAGCTTTTTTCTTCATTTGAATGCACCTGTTGCTTTTTCAGGGGCCCGGGACGGATCAGTGCAGTCCGACGCCAGTAGCAGTCCCTCTGAGCAAAGCCACCTGGGCCAGTCCCACCCTGCATATCCCATGGGACCACAGGTAAGCTTCATGGTAAACGTTGCATTTCACAGAATGTTTAAATATCCTGATCAGAAATGAAGCCAATAAAGTCAATTATTCATGGATTTCAAAGTGATGAAAAATAGCATGTTGCCATAGCAATAAAAATTAATAAATAAATAAAATCTTTTGAATGTTGAAAAGTTCTCAAAATGTCATCTATTAAAAGCCATCTTTCTGAACTTTCCACACACCATACGTACAACTTTATGAAAGGAAAAATATTTACATAGAAATGTGTATGTTTGTAATGATATTGAAATTGTATTAGTATTAATTGATTGGACGTCATTCATGAATTTCAATTAAATGAAAAGGAAATTCAGACCATGTTAGTTCATTAGCTCATCGAACCAGCACACTGATCTTACAAATCATATCAAGATGTTTTCATAAAAATGTGATAAAATCCCATCTCCAAATGTTACACAGTGCACTCTCCCTGCTCTAAAGTATTTTGTCATTGCCCATCATCCTCACATGTAATTGAGCTGTGGCACTAATGAGCTGACAATACAGGCAGTGTCAAAACAAGCAGGAGCAGAGTCTGAGCCCAGCCTGCTAATAGCTCAATCAGCCATTGTCCTATCTGATTGGATTTATTGGCCCGGTGGCTCGGCAGTGTTTAATGAACATCTATCTCATTAGTGTTGCTCAATGTCACCGCTTAACCCTCGCACAGCAGCAGGTCAGCCTAGTCTCTGTAATAAGGCCATTTTACATGCACTTATGACAGTCAGGCTTCATCAGGATAAACAAAGACAAAACGCCAAGAGGGAGCCATTTCCTCTTACTAGACAGCATTCTACAATAAGTAAATCCCTGTGTCATGTGTGCAGAAATAAAGGCACTTAATTAAAAGGTCTTTTGTGAGTGTGGATACCTGGTCAGGGCCACAGTGCTGGTATAGATAAGAAATAAAGCAAGAAAAAGAAGGCATCTGGTCTCAGCAGCAGTTAGAGGCTGAGCCACAGCAGGCGGCTCTCAACAGTCCCCGTCTAATATATTAATGCTGTCAGTACAGTCTCTGTGAAGCTAACACTTTTCAGAAACAAAGGCGCTCCGCATGCCATACCCAATTCTCTTGTTCCAGGATCAATATGTTTTGATAGATTCTCGCTCCAGAGCCGGATATTGTTCGAACAACCATTATCCGATGGTAGTTTACCCAACATGAATCCACCTTCCTTCTGTTTCCCACTCGCAGTTAGGATGACAAAAGTCTGCTATCTGGGTGATTATGGGCAATTTCTCAGTGCCAGAGCTGCCAAGCAGATAGAAAGGCCTATTCTCCCCTGATGGGCAGAGAGGCTTGGTACCACATCCAGTTCTGAGTGGGTCCGCTTCCCCATCCCGAGTCCAGCACACGCACACACTCCATGCACTTGTGTGGCCCCTAGGAGACCACTTCTCAACACTCAGCTGTCAGGCCTGCCAAGCACTGTATAGCTGCTTTTACAGCATGTGTGAAGCACACGGGCCAAAGTAACAGGCACAACAACCAACAGCCAAGGTGAACTGCTAATCTGAAGTGTGGCAGGGATTCTTTAGACAAACTCATATGTTTACTACAGGATCAGTTATTATGTTTGAGTTTTAATGCCCTTAAACAGATCTGGATAATGCGCCAACTACCTGCAAGAACTCCTCAGAACTCCTGTTAGAATGTAAAGATAAGACAGTGCTTTATGAAGTTCAGTAGTGCAGTAGCCTAAATTATGCTAAATGTTTGTCTGATCTGGTTTTACATACTAACTACATGCACCTGTGGCTGTTAGTTTCAGCCTTTATTCATAAAGTGGAACAGCGCACGGCCTAAAGAAACATAAAACACAAAGTCTCCCTCCCAGCAGCAGCCTTATGCTTAACAGCCGCCTGCTTGTCCAGAGCCGCCTGTAATAATAAATAAATCAGGGCTACATCTGATAATTGTAGAATTGTCTTTTAATGTTATTCCCTTCCATGTGAGGCTGTCTTTGCTGTCAAGCCTGGCAATCTCATTTAGTTTGACTCCGAGATGAAATGTTCAAAGGCTGTCTTTGATTATATGCTGCTTCGATTCAAGATTAAATTTACTTTAAAAAGCAAGATTAAACATGTGTCACTTGCAGCTAACAAACGGATCGCCTTTGTTATTGTCCTTTGAGGATTCGGCAAGCTCCCGAATTATTAATTCCTTTTTGAGAGTTTATGGCAAATGTCATTTTGAATGCTCTCAGAAGCTTTGAATATTGTCATCTGTTATGCACTGTTGTTGTGTATCAAAGCAAATGTTGAGAAAGAAATTCTCCGCCAGCAGTGATCACAATTTGTTTTTGTTGTTTTAAAGCTCCACCAGACAGTTCAATAAAAAGAAACGCCCTTTGTTTAAAAAAACACTCTTAATCTTAAGTACATTTTTAAGTACATTTCCATCTGTTGATTTAGTAAAAAAAAAAAAAAAAAAAAAAAAAGTGGTTTATTTATTACATTAAATTGAATTCAGTTTTCAATTTGCCTGAATTCTCAACATGTAGCTATAATTGGACTGAATGTAATTACTAAAAAGAGACATGTGATTATCAAAGGGCTTGGTTTCTCTGTAAAAAAAAACAAAACAAAAAAAAAGAGATGTGATGTTGGCTGACCTGTGGCCTCATAGCTCCTAAACTGCGCTGGGCTATGTGTCAGGTGTGTGGGTGTGTGTGTATTACACAGGGTTATCAGAAAGACACGCCTGTCACCTATGTGCTTTGTGTAGCACCTTTAGACTGGCCACAGTCCTCACATCGGCCGGCTCTGTGTCCAGGGAAGGCAGCAGGCACACCAATGCAAAACACAGGCAGAGCGCTGACAGGTGAAGTTAAAGTTGGTGAACTCAGGACTTAGAGGAGTGGACATAGTGCAGTCAGGCTTCCCTTTGCTGGGTTACCTCTGACACAACACATGCTGACATTGTACTTTCAATATTTTATCCAGAACAATTCAATTTGAAATGATTCCACTGCGTTTTGCTGCACCTTCACCATCTTCTGCTTCATTGTCTATTTGCAAATTGTGTTTGACATGCTCAAACGTAACATTGTTTAAGTTTTCTACCAGATTGAATAAGATTTGAAATGTCTTTCAGGGTATTCACAGAGTTTGAAGCCCTACTTCAAGCTCAAAGCTCTCAATGAAAAATGTGTTGGTGTATTTCCAAACCCACTTCCTCGGAAAATACGTTTGACGAGAGATTCACTGTGCAAAATATCTCAGAGCGATACTTCTGATAACATATCTCCCCTCTGTGGGTATGACAGCAGCGATTCCACTTTAACTAATATGAATGAATGTGTACATGAAGAGACAGCAGTGATGTTATATGCCTCATCTAAAGACTAAAGTAGTGCTCCATATTTCCTGTAGGAGGTTCTGTTCACTGGGATGAAACATGCTTCATATGTGAAACATTCTCACCTCATTTACAAAGATTAGATGTGATCTCTGTCAGACTGCAGCAGCTAAAGAACAGCACTCATTAAAATTCATTGATTAAAACCTGTGTAATTGAAGTAGAATCTAATACACTGTATATGTGGATGAAACTATTGATCCTCTTGAGTTTTGTAATCACTACTTACCCTTACTCTGCATTTCATAAAGTGACTGCCCTGCTCTAAACACAAGTGTCAACTGGGTTTAGCAAAGTCAGCAGAATCACACTAGTCATATTTAGTATACAAAACACAAAGTGTACTCAGGTGGACATGGTTCTGTTGTCTGCATTGTGCATTTTACTGTCAAATCAGTAAATAAATCACAGAGTTCTACAACTCATGACACTGTCTACACAATGCATAAACATAAACAGTAACAGGGTTTTTGCACATTTAAGTTCTGTTTTCAGTTATTGTTATCATTTACCTAAAACCTACAGTACAAATCTCTTTCTGATATCGTATCATTTTTCCTAATGTGTATTTCCCTGTGTCCACAGTCACTCCTGATGGCACAGCAGTTGGCCAGCGCAGTAGGTGGTGTAATGTCTGGGGCGGCTCCAGGCATGAATCAGCCCATCCTCATCCCGTTCAGTGCAGGCGGGCACCTGGGCAGTCAGCAGGGCCTGGTCCTGTCTCTGCCCACAGCCAACATCCAGAGCCTGGTGGCTGCGGCCGCCGCAGGGGGCATCATGAGCCTGCCTCTCCAAAACCTGCAAGGTACTGTCACACTGCACTGTGAGGCACACTCAAATGTGACATTTACAAATGTATGTGTCCTAACAACTGGGTACTTAGTGACCATTATTAAATTACAAATTTTCTTTTTTAAAACATCTGACTATTTTACTTTTGTACATACATTGATATCAGTGGTCAAATGTGTTATTTTTGTAGAAGCCGTTATCATTATGTTGTTTTTCTGATACACTGTACAAAGCTCTTGACCAGGTAAGATTCCTCCAGGGGTTGTATTCCAAAAAGCTGCCATCTTCATGTTGCCCGCAGGAACAACCATATTAATTACAGGTCAACGTTTTGCAGAGCAGCGCAAAAGCACTTTGGGCCTCTTTGGTGTGCATAAGAGTGCCCTGTACTTTACTTTTTATCTCCTTTCCACCTCATCTGTCCATCCACAGGGCTGCACGGATGCTTCTTTAAATTTTAATGTGCAAGTGTTCTCTTTTGATCATAGTTGTAAATGGTTTTCATTTTAATGTTTAAAACATTGTCTCTTTTATACCATTAGATTGAAGCATAGATGGAGAAACTGCCTGTCATAAATCTTAGATGAGAGAGGCGCTCTAATGTAAAAAGATGCTGGCTACATGTAAAGTAGTGTGTTTTGGGGATGGAGATTACAATAATGTCAGTGCTGCGCAAAGTGCAGGGAAGGTAGCCTCATGTGGAAATGGATGGACACATGCCCTGAGTGAGGAAATGTGGAGGTAGAAGCCTAATGGACACAAACATGCATAAATAACAGCAGCCAGCGCTGTGGGCAGAGCTTTTAATAAACCCACTTCTATCTAGTGAAACCCCTCAATGTATATCCGTCAGTAGTGAGCGGTAATGGGCCCAGCAGGCCTGTCTGACTCTCACTTCAGCAGGTCCTCCTCTGGTGCATCAGAGACAAGCCGTAGGCCTCAGTCATCTGATGAAGCCATCCACAAACACACTGCTGAGTGTCAGAGCAACATAACTAACACCACCCAATCTTTCTCATTGTCCTACTCCTATTCTGGAAAGGAGCTTCTGATAAACCTCCTCTATTCCAGATAGTGAGAAAAATGTGCAGAGAAATGCCTCGGTGGCAGATCTTTTGAAAGTGTGCGGACTGACAGACTGCCTGTTCGCACATCCTCTTATCTGAAGGGGATGCATTGAAGGGACCTCTGTGGAGAGAAAGTGACACAAGTCAGGAGTGAAGCTAAATGTCTTGACTGTGTCCAGGCCCCTCTGGCCAGGCGGCGCTCCTCCACACTGCCCTGTCTGAGCTCATCACCCAGTGAAGGAGGCCTGCTGGCACAGCACCTCTGTCAGACAAGCACAGCTCTGGCCTCTGCCCCCGCACCCCTGTGCCCCCACACCCCTGTGTGGCCTGCTGGCCCCCGGCTGAGCCCGATTCATCACACATGTAATACAGCTCCTTCTTGGGAGCACCACGCTGCCAGCTAATTAGTGTCAGATCAGACAAGACAACTGTGAGAAACAGTAATGAGACTACACCAGGGGCCTAGCCACTGGCTGCATTTAAATGTAATGAGGCGGCTAATGAGCCTCTAATAAGGCTGTTTGTCTCAGAGTGGCTGTTTGAGGATGGAGTCATTCATTTTCTCTAGTGTAATGTAGACTACAATATTAACATAATAATAAATACATAATATATGTTCCTCTTTAATAATAATAATAAGTGTACATATATTCTTACAGAAAGTCAGTGCTCTCTTTCTGGCCATGCTAATCAAAGCTGGTTCTGTTGACATTAGGGAAGAGCTGTGAGCTTAGCAGGGCAGTGCGCCGACTGTGATGAATAACTATCACTGTAATGGGGTTGTGCTGTAAAGTTGGAGCAGTTGCTTAAATAAAACTGAGCAGCATCTTGAGGCAGACTCCGTAAACACAGGCTGCAGTGTAACTGGTTATTTGTCAGAATGATTTATGCCTGCAAACATGCAGTAAAAACAAATTCCCAATGAAACTAAACAAGGGAGAAAGTTATCTTTAGTGACAGAGTGCACACAATTCTAGCTGACTTCACAGAGACAAAAAGTAGGTTGGGTCATGCAAGAGGTCTGTAAATGTGACGCTTGGGATGAATTGAAAATGCTATGTGATTTTCACTGTTAAAGTGTAAGTGTGTGTGACTGATGCTGACAAAACAGCCCTATGTTTGTTTGAGCTGCTGTCGTTTTAATCTGTTTATAACAAGCAGTACATGATTACCTACTTTGTAAAAGCAGCTGTACAGTATCAAAGGCCTGTACATGTAATGCTCAAGAGGAGGAGGCACTACAAAGTCTCATGTGTCTCCTCATCCTCTCCACATCTCTCTGAGTAATGCAAGCAGCTAGTTTACGCCTGCTCTTTTATATTAATAAGGATATCCCATCGTATTTGCTGTGAGCTGAAAGCCAAGCAGCGCATCACATCAGAGAGCCAACTTCTAATGGTGAGGTGAAAGCATTGTTCCTCTGTACTCGTCCACAGGAAACACAAAACAGCACTCAAGCTTCCTGATAAAGGTCGGCTCCCACTCACCTGCAGTAATGAGCCCGCTGTCAGTGCCAATCAAAGACACGTCTGTGTGTGAGGAGCACGCTCACTGTTGTGGTTCACAGTTTGCGGCTGTTGGAACGGTGCACATTAGGGAAATCACTGTGCTCATTACAGCACCAAAGGGTGGGCTCCTGGGGGAAGAGGCAAATGTTTCCACACTAGTTAGACATGTCAGACTGGATCGCTTCTGCCTCAGCTGACTGCTGCTCCTTTAAGAGGTGAGCTCACCGGGCTGGCCCACTGACTTAACCCCTGTCTGCTCTGGGAAAGCCTTGTGCTTTTGCAGTCACATCAAGATAGGTTCAAATATTTGTCTTGAATTTTATAGGGTTAACGAATATGTAGTAGCTGCCATCTCAACACATTAGAGCCTCTGTATCCCCGCACTAACGTTGTTTAATTTGATGTGTTTTCAGTTGGTATAGTTGTTTTATAATGATTTCACTTTGCAGAGGTTGTAAGATGACTCGCAAGAGGGGAGAGCTGCATTAAATAAATAAGAGTGATAAAATGTAGACCTTATACATTTCAAAGCTAATGCGACTAGTGGTGCAATTGGAGCAGCTGCACACAGTCCTGAAGCAGTAATTTGATTGATTTGTTGTGACAGGAGCCAAATAATTGAGAGTGAGAGGTGCTCTGGAGATGAAGCGCTGCCACAGACAGGTTCCAGGCAGTCCCAGCAGATACGGCACCGGGTTCTCATCTTTACCATTGATATCTGCGACTGGTTTAATGTTTGTCTTCTATAAGCAGATCTCAAATGTTACTGCCTTTGAGAGACTTCAGCAGTAGGGAAATAATCAGCTGGTATAATGTAGGAGCTCTGACAGAGTTCAAATCAGACATATAGATTTGCACCCAGGCTCAGGCACAGGTCTAGAGTACGCACACATAATCACATGGTCCCTTGTGGGTTATACAGCAATGTCTTTTGAAGCAAAGAGATGAAGGAAATTCACCCACTGATGTTTCACTTTTCAAGACATGTTAATGATTTGTTTATGATTCATGTTACATATACTTGATAATTGCACAAAAATATCCATATGTGTATTGCGAATATATGCAGATCTTTTTTTGCTTGTGTCTAGTGAGACAGTGTAGTGCTGTTTGTCTCCACCCTCTGGCTCTTGACTTGTGTTTTGTTTCTGTGGATGGTGGCAGTGTCACTCCGGCTCAGCCATGCCACAGGACAGCACAGTGCCAGGGCCTGAAATAGAAAGAAGGAAACAGAGGGGAGGGAGAGTCTTTATGGAGCTGCGGAGGAGGACAATCATATTGTTAATCAGATGTGGCTGTCTGCTCCTCCACAGCGAGCCCTGACATTTGCCCTCGCTGGTAAACACTGACAGAGGCTTTTGGCAAAGCTGCTATAAACACACAATCCCCCTCACTGCTACACAACTGTAGGCCCCACTCATTTGAATGAACTGCAGGTAAGTGTGCATATTTCAGTCTAATTTAGGAATTGTAGGAAGAAAAACAAAACAAGCATTTCTCTATGTTTACATATTTAGGTAGAACATTGTGATATGAATGTGTACCACCATACTGTAGTCATTTAATATTGTTTTCATAGAAGACATTGAATTTGGTAACCCATCTCAACAAGTCTTAGTTGAAGGATAAATGCTCTATCTGTTGAGCAACAGAATATACACACATAAAATTGTCATGCAAGATGTAAAAGATCAAATGTGATTATTATAATATCTTTAGTTAAATACCACTGTGTATTGTTGTTGTGTGTTTATTAACAACCGTAGCCATTTTGTTGTTGCACTGAGCTTGAAAAGCTCCTGATATATTATAGATTGTTCCACCCTTTTGTTTTTCTGATATTTCCACACTTGTAGCATGCTTCCGGTAAATGCCTTGACCACTTGGCCCAGGGTTGTTTTGTTGAAATTACATCTCACTTTTTTCTTTCTTTTTTTTTTTTTTTTTTTTGAGCAGTTTCCAAAAGATTCGCTAAAGGTCTGTCATATTGCCTCGGCGCAATTCAGAAGCTTTCAGCAACAATCTGTAGTCAAGCATTTGAAATGAAAATTGATTTGTGATTTACATGGTCAGTGAGGGGAAAATGAACTTATGAAATGTTGTAAATGAAATATTAGACAAGGTGCATTGGGAGGGAGCAGACAGAGATGGTAATCTTGTGGAACTAGAATCCCCGGCTGGCAGGACTGGGTGACATTTTACATTTATCTGTGTTCTGCTTGAGTTGTAATGTTAATGGTAATTTTATGGGACTGAACTGAAATGGAAATAGTGTTATCTCAGATTTCCTCAAAGTGCAATTGTGTAAAGTAGCACACTCGCATCCTTTACTTCCCTTTGCCCGATCATGACTTATTGCAATCTATGAGGATGGTAATGTGTATTCTGCCTGTTTTATGTGTCTCTACTGTTTTAGAGCCATGTATCAACATCTTTAC